AACTAGAACATGGAGGTTTGACAATGGGTCCAGGATACCCAAATGGGACATTAGTGCTCAGGAGTGTGTGTCCTGAGAACTGGGTTTCTGTTCCTTTCTTTTCTTGTCTCCTCAGAGATTTTACTTATTTTTTTAAAATTAATTTAATTTTAAAAGAGATAATGGTTTTCTTTTTTTAAATAGCAGTATAATTGACATAAAAACTACTATGTTAGTTCCAGGTTTTCGATAGAATTCATTATTTGTGTATATTGTGAAATGATCCCACAATAAGTCTATATTCATTACTGCACAGTTACAAATATATTTTTAGTGGCAAGGATGTTTCAGATCTATTCTCCAAGTGGTTTTTGATAAGCAACCATATTCATAACTATATTCTACATGCTGTACAGTATCCTCCTATGACATATATTTTATAGTTGGAAATCTACTTTTTTTTAAAGATTTTATTTATATATGCTTACAGAGTTGGGATACAGACCAGAGGTGTGGTGGGTGAGAGGATTCACCAGAGACAGAGTGGGGAGCAAGAACAGGCAGATCTACTGAAATACACTGCTGAGGGAGCAGCGGGCAGGTCAGGAGAAGTCTGCCACGCCATGTGGATCAGCTGCCTGGCCAGGGATTGAACTCGTGCCTCAGTGGCTTCTGAGAGCTTCATAATGCGGTGCTTTAACCCACTATGCCACGAGGAAGGGCCCTTGGAAATCTACTTTTTGACCCTTCTAATGGCATGAGTCAAATGTTGCTCACTGACAGCAATGAGGGATGTACAGGGGAAATGGAATCTCTTGCTAAGTCTAGATGTCCCAACATGTGTTTTGTTTTTAGCTGTGTGGTTCTAAGAAATGTAAGGGATTTTCCAGCACTTTCCTTTTACCCATAAACACACAAATTGATACAGGACAGTAAGGAGCACTAAAACTGGCAAGGACAGTGCCCAAATAGTTTACCAGTCACTGTCTGAGTTTTCACCCATATGCACAATCGCAAGACTACTCAGGTTCGAAGAACAATAATAATGAGATTTATTTAAGAAATAAGGGAAAAGAGACACTAAGGTCACAAATGTCTGTTTACCTCACCCAAAGTGTCCAATGTGTCTTAAACACAAAGACTCCTGAGATGGCGTCTTCCCGCCACTGAGAGCCTGGATCAATTGGCAGCTACACAACAGACTGGGATCCAGCTCACGAAGACAGCAGAAGACACAACAAGAGATGCTCACGAGAGCTGCCGAGATGTGCCAGCACAGCACCAGACAGCATCTAAAACACCAGCTGCAGCATCCAATGACCTGACAAACAGTTCATACTCATGCAGTTCAGCAAGGCACCCAGCTCCAGGTCTTCACTTTCCCATCCAGGTTGGAACAGCAACAAAGCTGAGAACAGTTTCAGCTGCTCAGCTACCTGCAAAGCCCCAGAACTTTTCTTCTCAGAGGTTGGCTCCTGGACGCCTGTCCATGTCCAAAAGGAGATCTGCCTTCTGGAAGATCAACATGATGGGGGAAGAAATGGCTAACCCCAGAATGGCTGAAGATCCAAAAAAAAAAAAAAAAAAGATGAAATCCCAAACTCCTTATCTTGGGGGCTAATTATTCAGTCCTTGTAGTTCTTATCAGAGTCTCCACCCCACCTAATACTTCCTTTGTATTTTGCCTGGGGCTATTCATCCTCACTAGCAACCCCCTCCAGGGGGCGCCACCTGTAACAACCTTCTGCTTCAGCCTCCGATTACAAAATTAGTTAAATTCACTAAGTTCAAGAAACTTAACTCTGCTCTGTCAAATGCCTCATATACTTTAACAAGACTGTGCAGTATGAATCTCCAGGAAGCAAAGAGGGTGACTTGCTTGCTGCGCATCTGATACATTTGACATAGGAAATTTGTGGGGAGATAGTGTTTAATATTTTGCAGGTCTAGCAGCTGAAAGACCACTAATTCTTCCATAATGTCCTACTCTTTTCACTCTTGCAAACTATGTATTCTCTTCTCTGGTTTCCAATTTCAATGTCCCAATGAAAGAAATAATTACCTATTTTTCACTAAACTCCTGTGCGTGGGCAGAGACCTGTCACTCTGACACTGGTGTACACTGTTAAATTAGCCTTTGAACCACAAAAGGATCTTGTCCCATGAAGCTGTAAAAAGGAATCCGCAGACATTTTAGATAAGTAAGCAGAGAGCAACAAACTTTAAGAAAGCAAAGTCTATTTAAAGGAAGAAAGTAAGGACTCTCAGGTATGCTGTATTGGGGAGGAGCAAGGAAGCCATTGTGGGTCCGTGTGGAAGGCTACTGAAAGCCATTTTTGCCCCCTGAAATCTCATTATCCTACTTTGTGGCTGCTTCTTTCTCCCAGTATGGGAGATGTGCCCATTTCACCAGGTCTTACTTGAGCATTTACTTCTGCTCTAGGTCTTAGTTTCACAATAGTTTCACTGTCTTTGTTTAGTCCTCCTGGACTTTCTGACCTCATCTCTGATGGGTAGCACTTAGAATTTACTGTCCTTATCTCAGAAGCCTTTTCAACTCCCCTAAAGCCCCTGAGGCTGCCTAATGAACCCTAACTTGCCCCAGGACTCACCTCCAGTTAACTCTATGTCATGGGGTACCCTATAATACCACAAGCCTCTCTTTTGTGCCTGGATGTGGACACACAGCACCTGGGGGAACCAGACTCCCCCGAGTACCTGAGAGAATCTGGAAATGTTAAAAACACCTTGTGTAGGCCCTCCCTGGTGGTGCAGCAAGTTAAAGCACAGCACTAAGAAGCTAAAGCCACTTCAGCATGAGTTCGATCCCAAGCCTTGGAGGTGACCCACATAGCGTGGCAGACCTCTCCTGACTGCCGCTCTCCTCATTAGTATACTTCATTGATCTACCTGTTCTACTCCCCTTTCTCTCTCTGGTGGATCCTCTCACCACACTCTGCACCTCTGGTCTGTAGCTCAGTTGTATGAATAAATTAAATCTTTTAAAAAAAAACATGGGATTCCTGGAAGGGCAGGCTACCTCATCATCCAGCCAGAAACTTTCCAATATGGCTGAACACAGGTTGTGTTTTGAATATCAAAGCTGAAGGTGAGTTTTGCTGTCACATCACTTCCTGGCATGCCCAGGCAGCTCGTTGGGAGAAATCTGTGCTCACTGAACAGAGAATACCTGTCACTGCTGGGTGAGAGAACAACCAGTAAATGGAAAGATGATGAAATTTAACCTGATTCCATTTAATGTATGAACATGTGGTATATTCAAAGTTGAACTGTAAAGATAGGGGGGACATTAGCCCTGAGCCAGCAAATTATGTCCACACTTGTAAAATTTGAAGTCATGTATTAAGGACAGTAATGGGAAAAAACCTCTTCCTTTCACACTCCTGTGCTTTCTTTGATGCTAACAGCACTATTTGGAATCACCAAACATACTAGATATTTCTGAAACTCTCAGCAACTTGGGCTTGAGTTGAGTGGCATTTCTCAAATGCTGTTAGTCTATTGCTTTCCTTTAATGTTAAAGGTGGATATTCAGAATTATAAGTGGTGTAAAAACTCTATGTGATACTAGCCCAGGAACTTGGAGGCTGAGAATTCTGTAAGTTCTAACCCCTGCTGTCCTGTGCCCTCATTCACCTGCCACCCTCACCCCAAGAGTAGCATTGGGGCTGGTCATGCCCCACAGAAAGCCACCTTGCAGAAATCTGGCCATGGCTTTTCATCAGGCAGCCTTGACAAGAGACCAACCTGAACATCAAATTCTTTTCTGCAGCAATTAGGAATTTCGACAAGTCTCCTTTGTCAAACAAAGCATACTTTGTGATCATGCTCTTGCCATCTAATGTCTTATGTTTTTACTAAAATGGTCTTTTCAGACATTACTTCTTTCTTTCTTAAATAAGTTCAGTAGCAGTGCGTTGGAGCAAAGTTTTGCTTGGAGTCCAAAAACCTGTGTTCTTCATGTCTCTAACAACTTGACCCTCACTTGCCTCATCTGTAGTAGGACTAATAACTTCAGCCCTGCCCATTCCTGGGCTGTGGCAAGACTATTTAAGACAGTGCTGTGCCCTCCTTCTAATACCTTAAAACAGAAGTGCTGGTATTGCTAAGGAAGGTTGCTGGGAGGTATTTTACATGTTATCCCGATCAAAGTCATCTTGTAAATTGGAAGACTGAGTCATCTTCCTACCAGAAAGAGTGTGTGTGTGTGTGTGTGTGTGTGTGTTTTATTCAAGATGAATCTCCACCCCATCAGCATCTCTGTTCCTATCTAGTTTTGAGAAAAAGAAAAGTACAAATAATGTGGGGGAAAAAAATTTAACTTTTCTTTGCCCTCTCTCTTGTCGGAGATTATAAAGAAATAGTGTTTATAAACTTTGATTATAAAGAAATAAATGTTGATAAACAACTTCAGGAATAAACACACAGAAAGGAAAGGAAAGCTGTCCCGCTACATCTCTCTTCCATACCTGTGAGTTCCTATGAGCTGACCTTTCATGAGCAACTCTGAAAATCACAACAGAGCATTCCTGCTTGACTACCAATGGACAGTAGCCAATATCAAGAGGCAGACCAAGAGACACCTGGACCACCGTTGATTGATTACATGATTATCTCCATGGTGGTCCTAAGATAACACTACCGTGATAACATCAACACCTATACTTTGCTGACGCAAATGTTTCTTGACATATGGTCACAATGCCCCATCCTCTTTCCCTTGTAAACCTTCAGCCCCCTTACCTCCTTGGGCCTTATTCCTCATTCCACTGTCCTGTGATGAGCTTTTACTAAACCGTAGGCTTTCCTTAAATGGCCCAAGGGCTTGTGCTCATGTAGCAGAGTCTTGTCTTGCAAACCTGCTCCACGACCACTGTGTTCCTCATCACCTTCGCACTGCAAAGCAGCAGCAAAGTTCCTGTCACAGCGCATAACTTTCCTGCATGGGTAGGACTTGGTTCTGGGTGACTGACTCCCCCTTGTTTGTTGCTTCCCCTCAGGTTGGTGGCCACACAATGCTGCCCATTCGCTGGATGCCTCCGGAGAGCATCATGTACAGGAAGTTCACTACAGAGAGTGACGTCTGGAGCCTGGGGGTTGTGTTGTGGGAGATCTTCACGTATGGCAAACAGCCCTGGTACCAGCTGTCAAACAATGAGGTAGGCAGCAGCCAGGCCAGGACCACACCCCAAAGGCTGCCGGTGAGGCACATTCGTTGGCTGGAAGGCAGGACTTGATCTGATGTGGCTTTGTTGGGAGCTTTACCCAAATGGCCTACTGTGTATCTAAATGTCATGGACAAAGCAAATTACTCTCCGCATTTAAAGAGTTTTAGCAAGGAAAGCACAAACAATGTTTACTGACACACCCTCATTCTGTGGTGAAGGGATGAAGACTCACTTTGTGCTGCTCATCAAGTAAATTAATGGCAGATGTGCATCCTGCTGTCTTAGAGACCATCTAATTTTTTGTTAGTGTTGGAATAAGATTTTGAGGTTCTTTCCTCCTGAACATTTCACCAAAACATTGACTCCTAATGAACAGCTTCAGTATTATGTTTTCCTATTTTAATGCTGTTGTAAATATATCTATATTTGAGGCATAGTTTCTCGATTAGGTCCTTCAATTCTTCTTCAGGTCCACAGCTGTCTTTTTCCAATTCCGTTACTCAAAATGGCCACATTTTCTATAGCCTGGGGTTCCATCTCAGGTTAGTGAAAGTAAAGCACATTAGAATTTCAGGGTGACATTTGGGAGCTTTTCATCAATTATTTCTCCACCAGTTTGGTGAAATCAGTGTGTCCTAAAAACTGGAGATAAACTAACCAAAGTAGCCATGTTCTACCTGTCTGATACTTGCTGTCTTCCTTCTGAAATGTAAACATGGAGTGGGCTTTGCTAGCACAGCACTCCCTTTGCAATACCATTTATTCCACCTGCATCTTCTTTCTTCTCGTCTGACCTGACTTTGATCTTTGTCCTGTGCAGGTTATAGAATGCATCACTCAGGGTCGAGTCTTGCAACGACCTCGAACATGCCCCCAGGAGGTCTATGAGTTGATGCTGGGGTGCTGGCAACGAGAGCCCCACATGAGGAAGAACATCAAGGGCATCCACACCCTCCTTCAGAACTTGGCCAAGGCATCTCCTGTCTACCTGGATATTCTAGGCTAACTCCCGTTCCCCAGACCCATCCTACCCAAGCACCTCCTCAGATGGCCAAGAGGATGAACGTCTTTTAACTGCCGCTGGATGCCACCAATCTGCTGTTCTTCACTCTGACAGTCTGAACAACAAAGACACTGAGAAGCTTTCAGAGGGGAGCAATGTGTACTTCTCCATCCATAGACACAGTATGGACTTCTTTTTGGCATTTTCTCTTTATCTCTTACCATCTCCTTTGGTTTGTTCCCTAGTTTTTTATTTTTGTCTTTCTTTTCTTCTTCTTCTTTATTTTTTTTGAGTTTTCCCTGCTTCACAGTTTCTACCCTTTCTTTTTTAATCAATCTGGCTTCTGCATTACTATTAACTCTGCATAGACAAAGGCCTTAACAAACCTAATTTGTTATATCAGCAGACTCTCCAGTTTGCCCACCACAACTAACAATGCCTTGTTGTATTCCTGCCTTTGATGTGGATGAAAAAAAGGGAAAACAAATCTTTGACTTAAACTTTGTCACTTCTGCTGTACAGACACCGAGAGTTTCTATGGATTCACTTCTATTTATTTATTATTATTACTGTTCTTATTGTTTTTGGATGGCTTCAACCTGTGTATGAAAAAGGAAAACTTTGTGTTCAATCTGGAAAGCCTTTGTTTGTGGGAGATCAAAGCCAGAAAGAAAGAAGATTTACTCTAAAACCACACTATGCGAGGAACAAAGACAACTATTTGGATCAGCTGCCGTTAGTCCCTATTTAAGAAAAACTCAGAGAATGTCAACTGGGAAGAATCTATTCAGCTTCTTCCCCTGAGGACCCTTCTGAGGAGCATAAAGACTGTTGTACTCTGTGCCATGAACTAGTCTCTTCCCATCACCAGAAACACTCGTGTAGTAGAGAGAAAAGATGGCTTCCTTGAGACATAAGATGGCACATCACAGACTCGACAGGTCTTCTCTTTGAAGGTCATGGTAATAGCACTGGTCTGTTTTTCCAAGTGTTATCCACTGAGCCTTTATCAAGTTCAGTTGAAAATAGGTGAATTCTTGTCCAGAGATCTTTTCAGGGTCAGGTGGGACAGCCAAGAACTTGGAAAAAGATAAGACTAACTATAAATTTGGAGGCAAGTTTCTCTTACATTGAACTTTTCAGATAGCACTTCGCTCTGACCCCGTCCCTCCTCTCCACCCCTCCTTTTAACTGTGCAAGCAAAATTGTGCATGGTCTTCGTCGATTACTACCTTGTCTGCAGAAACTACCACTCCAGACTTCGTGCCGCTGATAGCTAGAGCAGACCCACAAAAGGTATAACTTATATAATTAGGGGAAGCTAATGGAGTTCATTAGCTGAGTATTAATGTCTCTTGGTTGTATGGTGGTGATGGATTTTTCTAAGTACGGACCCTGAAGCCTGGATGTCCTCACCTGCCTCCAATGCACTGTGAGAAGGGCAGAATCTATGCCTGAGGGAAAGGAAACCCCACCCTGGGACGTCACATGCCTTGCTGTTCAGTGTACACAGGCCGTGTCCTTGCTCTGGGCTGTGGTTGGGAGAGTGGTTTCATTCCACGTGTACTCCATGGTCAGTCTGCTGTTTCGTTTTCTTCACTCCAGTAAATTATGTAAAAATAAAATATTGGGCACATCATGCCAATGGGAGGCTATGCCCAGGCCAAGTTTCTGAGCATGGTCAATGGTTTTGGGAAAAGAGATTGTAAATTTAAGTAGAAATTTACAGTTATGGTGATGATCAGTTAGTTATACCAAGAAAGAAAAATATTTCTGTTCCTCAAGAAAATTTGCTACCCTCTGTGAGGGGAATTTTGCTAACTTGACAACTTTCTAACATGAGCCAGATTGAAAAGGAGTGATTTTAATTCATCTTAGGTCATTTTATTCATATTTGTTTCAGACGGTGCAATTGCTCTGTTTAAGTTTTACTTGCGCCCTTAATTTCTGGAGTAACTCATTTTCTATTACAGGCTTTGAAAGCCAGTTCTCAAAATATCAAGTGTCAACTAACAGAGAACAAAAGGAAATCCAGTAGCATCTTTGGGCAAGGGAAGGGGGTTGGACTAGATGAATCCTACAGTCCCTTCAAGTTCTGGGCTGGCCTATGAGACATAGGAGTTATTTGTTCTCTTTGCTGGCGAAAAACAACCCCTCCAGAATACACATAATAATATAATGAAAGCCATATCTCCATGATATATACATGCGTGTATATATCTTATTAAGGACGCTGGTACTGTTAAAACACTGTGGCTCTCTGAAGCAGTAAAGAAGGGGCAGATTTGTACAAAACTTTTCTAGATTCCATCAGCAATGACGTGAAAACCTACACGGGTTTGTCATTCTGCAGGACCAGCCAGCTGCTCTGGAGAAGGAAGCTGCAAGTTATTTGTTTTATCTTAACAGAGAGCAAAGGTGGCAATACTCTAAGGGATCAAGCTGAAGGAGGGCTGTGCGGTTTTAAAGCAGGGATTTGTTTAAGGCAAATGAGAAAATGGGAGCATTCCATTCCAGTTTTGTGTTTCCCTCTGAAGGAGAAAAAAGCAAAAAAAAAAAAATTCTCTTTACCTTCTGACAAGTCCCTCAAGGTCTTGAAATGAAAGGTTCTATGCAAGTGCAAAGTTTTATAATTACTTATATTGCCTACTATTATTTTTCCTCTGTTGTCTCAAGAGTATGTACTGGTTTCAGAGACGTCTTGCATTGAAAGAATATCCGATTGCTTTTAAAGCAGGTAAATGACCCTGAGAATATCTTAGAATATACATCACTGTTCCTATACCATCCCTGCTGCTCATGCTTTTCTAATTTTTAGAAAAGGCACATCATCATTCTAAAATCATTCTGCTGCTCACAGAATATAGACTGACTGTCATCAAAGTCATTAAAAATCTACAGTAGTAGTGACAAACCTAATTCTCTAGAACCAAATCAGTCTCACAATTGTTTCCATTTATAAATCGTTTGATAGTTTTCCAAACACTTTCCACATGTTAGCAAATTATTCCTATTTTTTATAGGGGAGGGAATTTTGAGAATCAGAGAAGTTAAATAGCATGCTAAAAATCTCCAGGCTAGCTTCTGGCACCACTGGGGCCTAGTCTCAAGTATTCTGATTCTACAGTTTGGTTTTGTCCACTAGAGACTCTAATATACAGACATGCAGTTCAGGAAAGCAAGCTACACATTCATTGAAGCAGCCTATTAAGTTAAAACAGTGAAATACAAGAGATGACAAGCAGCTGAGATATTGTGCTATATAGTCATATTCATAGCTTCAGCTAATCCTTGTACACTGACCCAACGCCATAATCAGGCTTATTTAGAAAATATTTTGAACTATGCTATAAAGGGTTATATCAGAATTCATAGTGTGCATATGTGTTCACATCAGCGCTACCTGTGGTATTTTCATGTATTTTATGTGTGTTATAAATACTTGATTTATACATATAAAGACACACATTCGCAGTGTGTTTGTGTGCTTATGTATAAATTTATAGGCACACAGTAATAGGGATAATTATAAGTAGGGTGCAGTATGAATAATTTGCTTAAAATTTGCTAAATAACCAAAACTTTTTAATGTCATGTTGCTGTTAGTGCTTCCATTTTCCATGTGGGTAGACTACGTCACACTTTTCAACTCTGTTCAGTACTGCATGGGTGGAAGACATATTTAAGATAATGTGCTTCCCCAACAACTGAATCAAAGCCATCCCGCTACATTGAGTCCTTTCTTTGGCTCCTTGCAAAGGGAAATGCAGACTGAAATAATCTTCTTATGTAAAGGTCCAGGAAAGGAAAATTGATTTTTGAAATCTTTTTGCACATTTTATGATGTACATCTTGTCCCACTATGACCCCTTGTATTCAGAATCCAAGCATTCCAGAAGGGAGCTGGAATGTTGGGTGCCTGAGTCTTGAAGTTCAATGGTGAGCACCAAGACAGAACCTTGAGGTGAGCAATTCTTAGGAATTCCCACATCTGAATGTGAATGCAAGTAACAAGAGCAGAAAATGCTGTCCTTTGCAAAGAGCCTTGACAATGACAGGACCCCAGACGGGAGTAGACTTTTGACTTTTCTTTTTGCCAATTGGAACTTCTACAATGCCAATAACATTAAGTTGTATAGCTCTTTCTATACATGACTACATATACGCATGCCCTCATTTATTTTGTTCTCCCTTCTTCCTCCCATGTGAGAATTTTTATTTTCAAGAACGAGTTCTGTTTTGACCCTGTGTCACTGCTACAGATATCTCAAGAGGGGAAGGCCTGTGACCCACTGCTGGGATGGCTAAATAAGCAGTAAAAGCAGTTTCTTCACAACCCATAAACCTGGAATGCGGACACTCCAAGGTTGTGATAGCAAATGCTCTTCTAAAGAATGAGGGTAGGAGAGATTTATACTTAAGCTGACAGCACATGAAGGAATGCTTTCCTGGTTGTCAGGGCTGGAAGGAGTCACTGCTGCTCAAGTCAAAGGATCTTGAAGATCCTTAGGTTTTGCATTTCTCCCCTTTCATTTCCTTTTCCATTTATTTATTTATTTATTTATTTATTTATTTATTTATTTATTTATTTATTTATTTATTTATTTATTCATTCATTCATTCATTCATTCATTCTATGGATATCTTTTGCTCCATTCATCACAAACACAAAGCAAAGCAAAAAAAATTATATATATATGTATGTGTATATACATTATATATATATATATACACACACACACACACACACACACATGTTGCAGGCAAAACACTGTGAATTTCACAACAGCAACCAAGCAACTATTTTGCCATCTTAACATACGTCTCAGGAGACGAATGGGAAAATGTGGGGATGTCATTTTTTAGTCTATGCATTCTAGGCTAGGTCTGTGTTTGTTTTCTTTTTTTGGTCCGTGCATTAATAACAATGACCCTGAGTAAAGTTTGGCTGAATGTTCAGCATACTGGAGCAAGTATAATAAGAGCTGCTAATAGCCACATGTTTAAACTGAAAAAAAATTGGAGAATATGAAATGAAACATAAAGGCCTACATCTTGCAGCTTGCATATCTTACTATTGCTTTCAAAATGTATAAAACAGCTGGAAATGTTTTAAATACAAGGTCTTTGAATTAAATATGGATTTTCAATATATAATCCCTTGACAACTAACCAAATCATGGTGAAATGTTGCTCCCTGCGTTCATTGATCATTACCCATCACTTACAAATCTGCCTAGAGATGTGGATACTCTCTGCATTTGCTTCTGTACATGGAGAGATGTTTGTATATATCCAGGCCGTGTACACACACACCACATTTCAATATCTCTCTAAAGATATACTGCCCCTTAAATTGTGACCTAGTATTTGGAACTCTTTATCTTTTTATTTGCTTTCTTTCCTTTTAATGTGACGTCTCTGTGCTGATACTTACCAGTTCTTGTTTTGCAATGTTTTGAGGTCCATTGCTTTACTAAGGTCCATTGCATCTTGGCTGATTTCCAAGTGACACCAGAATATCAGTGTTTAAAAAAAAAAAAAAAGTTTTGTTTGTAAATCATGTGACCAGCTTCTCTCAACCTGACATGGAAAGTCTCTTGTACTACAGTGTATTTAATAAAAATGATGTCTTACAATAAATAACATCCTCCAAAAAGAGACACTAAAAGTGACATGATTACTTCAACAATGTATAGAATTTTTCACAAGGCATGGTGTGCTCTTTTTTTCTGTCTGTCTGTCTGTCTGTATATATTTTAGATACAGTCACAGCAGATGCTCACAATGTTCACTGGCTGACAGTGATGAGAGCAGGTGATCTTCAGTACAATTTCCCCAACTAATCCCTCCATAATCTAACACTTTCAACATATCTTGGATAATTGGGGCATTACGCTCCAACAGAACTTTCTGCAGTGATGTAAATGCACTACCCAGTACAGTAGCCATTAGCCACATTGACATTTGAAATGTGGCAAAGTGACTGAAGAAGTCAGTTTCAAATTTTACTTCATTTCAGTCGGTTTGCATTTGAATAAGAACATGTGGCTTGTGGCTACCATGTTAGGTAACAGAGAGAGAGAGGAGAGAATCATTATGATACGGTGGTTCCTGAAAGATCAGACATAAGACTCTACCAAAAGAAATATGTGTTCGCATTGGGCAGCATTAGGGATCAGAACTACCCTGAAACTAAAGTAACCAATCAAAAATGAAATGCCACACTCTGTTGGTCTCTCGGTTAAGTGGCATTTCTGGATTCATACAGATTAGGGAGAAAAAATAAGGGTGATTTTACAGGTGTCTTGTAGATTCTTCCTTTTCATCAGAATGCTTTATTCAGGTTTTCTTTTTCAATATCACAGTCATACTTGCCAGTGTCTAACATCGTCCCCTCGGCTTCCTCCAAGAGGCACAGGAAATACGGGCACAACCTTCCTGTGGGAGCTTTGAAAACATAAGCTTCTCAGGAACTCTGCCTCATGAACCCCTGTGAGTGGTGCAGATATGCTTTCCTTAAGTTAAAAAAAAAAAAAAAAAAAAAAAAACAGGTTAAAACTCAGCAAAGACTTGGACCCCAAAACTGTATAAGGGAAGAAACAGTCTATCCAAAAATCCAAGTAGATCCTGTGTCTCCATAGGGTCAAAGTATATAGTCCACTCAAAGCAACTAGATTACTAAAGGACTAATGTTAAACTGGGGATGATGGGTCAGCCATTACGCTGTTTGGGCTACTGATGGTCTAACGTTTACCACACTACATTTATATATATATATGTCTTATCACTGGTACAAATTACAATGGCATCACTCTAAATTCCAAACCTAAAGCTAAGTGTCCAAAGTTATTCTTTGTTCCTCTGTAGACCCTGTCTAGCCTTCTTCCTCCATAGTATTCCTTTTCTTCATTCTTTAAGGATGCCTAATTTATCGGATGAGAATATCTCTGAAGTATTGTTATTAACAACATTATTACAACAGGCATCTACACTTCTAGAATAAATTGACTAATAAAACACATACTGTATGCTTGGTGTTTGTTATGTACCCACCTATGCTAGTTTCCTGCGGCTGCTGTAACAAATTACCACAAGTTGGATTGTTTAAAATGATAGAAATTTATTCTCACCATTCTAGAGGCCAAAGTCTGAATTTCAGGTGTTGGTAGAGCCACAGTCCTTCTGGGGACTCTGATGAAGAACTTGTTTCTTACCCATCACAGCCTCTAGTGAACCCAGATGTTCTTAGGCTGGGGCTGCATCAGTCTACTCTGCCTTAATGGTCATCTTCTTATATCCTCTGTTCTGTCTTATAAGGATACATGGAATACATTTTGGGTCCAAGAAATCAGGATAAGCTCTTTCTTCCTTTCAAGATATTTACTTTACACATCTCTTCTTACCTTATAAAACAACGTTCACTGGTTCCAGGGATTATGTGGGCATTTATATTGGGTACCATCATTTAACCCACTGCAGTATGTTAACTCATTCAACTCTCAGGTCAACCCTTAGAGGTATGTACAAGCATCATCTCCAGCTTATGGGCAAGAAAACTGAGATACTGAGAGTTCTGAAGTGTGCACAAAAGTTCAGTCAAAGGAGACTAACCAGTAAACTTAGCGATAATTAGATGTCAGGTACTCACTTAATCCTCAGAATAAGGGAGGAACTCAGGGGTCCACTCCAGGCAGCAGAAGTGCAGGCCCCTGGTTGCCTAGAGAGTCATTGTAGATAAGGTCTGAGTTGATCAGGTGACTTGTTGGTTGTGGTTTGGACTCCAGCAACTGGAGAAAACAGTTAAACAGTTCTGTAGGCATGAGATTACCAATGGGAGATACTCAAGTTTAAAAAGATTAGAGAATTTGTAGCAATTTTAACATGGGCATGGAGGATGTTGATCCTTTGGGCAAGAGGAGAATCTTACCATTAACACAAAGCCCAAAGTAACCTGAAAGTTGCCATCATGTATTTCCAGTGCTTTTCTGAGCCCAGTGCTCCCAATCCATCCCTCCACCTATCTGTCTGCATGAAGGTGAACCTGAAGGTAGAGAAATCTGCCCAGCAATGAGATGTAGAGGCTTCAGGATATGACAACACCAGTCTTGCAACAAGATTCTGGAAATTTGGCTATTTCCTGTGTCAGTTTCTTTGGTAAGGCTTCTATGATTGAACTTATATGAGAGCTAGCCCCACCCCCACTTGCCATTTATAGGTGGTGTTTCATAGCAAAAACAATGTTCAGACCCAGTTTATGCAAACAAGAAAGAATCACTACCAAGACTACAGGTACTCTATGAAGGCCAAGAGATAATCTCTCCCTGTTCTAGCATGGAAGTCACAGTCAAAAGCAGATGCAATCATGCACTAATGTCAAGATAAGCCTAATTGTTCAGATCAGGTGATAGGAAGAGACAACAGAAGACCCAGAAAGTTCCATTGCCAAAAGCTGTGACCTCAGTATTAGAGAACTGGGAAGATTCTTCTGCCTCCTTCCTGTACTTGGACAATACTTTCAATAACAACCCTCACTATTCGATAATCTCACACATATATCAATATGGTCTCATGCTAATTTACTAACCCTCTGGTTTTGACAACAATATTTTAAGTACCAATTAATACCTAGTAAAATCATTTCTGTTCACCTGGATATAGAATGTGTCATCTATATAATATCTAGATATCATTAGATGTGTATGACATGACTGGATTTAAGTTGTACACAAGCATCACTCTATACACTGATAATACAGTTAATGCCACATAATGTAACAAATTTCCCATGGACAATTGTACCCTTTTCTGCTCTAGAGAGCATGAATTTGTAGAAACTTTTAAGTAGGGAATGAACTGTATTCATTCCCTTTAAGTCAGGTTACATTTGATACAAGTTGACATACTTCAGGAGCAAAACTAACCTTAGCAATTGTTAAATGTGCCTCCCTCTCTTAGAGTGGGTCATCTATGGATTTCCAGACTCACTGATAGCCAGAACCTCTGGCAAGGGTTTTGAATTTATTGTCCACCACAATCCAGCGGCTGTTTCGAGGACTGAGACGTCCTCTGACACAGCACTGCCATTCACAAAGCACATCACCACAGTGAGGCCCCATCCACCAGTTATTATGACTATTAATTCTCAGAATGGGGTCACAAGGCCTTACCTCCCACCCCCAACACCTTAAATTGATTTTTAGTTTAATTTGGCTTATGGAGATATGTGTGTGTGTGTGTGTGTGTGTGTGTGTGTTTCATTTTGTTATTTTTTATCAGGAAGATGGATGTGTGTAAAACAAAATAGACTTTCTTTCTTCACCTGTTAAGTCTTACCTCTTCCCTGGAAATCTCAAAGCTTTCTTCCTTAATTTGAGAAGAGGATTCTTTTCATCTAGTCACATTTTTCTAACAAGATGAATATTAGAGCAGTTTTTCTTAGTTTTTGCATTTATCAAAATTACTTGGAACTTTGAACATTAAATAATATAGAAGTCAAAGCTTCAGTCTGAAAGGATTAGTACGGGTTGGGGAAAAACATAGCTTTTTTATCCTTCAAATTATCTAAGTTCTTCAAATGTAAAATTAAGATAAAGAAATGCTGTTACAGGCCCTCCCTGGTGGCACAATGGATTAGGACATAGCACTGTAAGCGAGCTGCAGCCGCTTCAGTGCAAGTTCAATTTCCAGCCCCGGAGGTGACCCACATGGCCCAGCAGACCTCTTCTGACCTGCCCGCTGCTCCCCTCAGCAGTGTACTTGGTCTACCTGCCTATTCTTCTCCCCACTCTGTCTCTGGTATCCTCTTACCATCCTTGCACCTGTGGCCTGTAACCCAGTTCTGTATGCATCTTAAAAAGAAAGAAAGAAAGAATTGCTGTTACAGAAGATAAAAAGGGTCAATCCCAGAATTTCAACCTGGTGGTTGATCCAGGACTTCACTTGCAGAAAGTTGGGCAAACATAGAGAAGGGTCTAAAGTTTAGAGCAAGAATGCAAGATGGAGTACTTGATCTTAAAAGTAGATCATCAGTATTTAAGGAGTTGAAGAGTGAAGTCCGTGTTCTCAAAAATAAGTTTCCTGCAAAGCTCTAAGCAAACCAGTTACAGTCAGGTGCTTAAGGCAATCAATCAATCCTGATCACCTAAAAGGTTGGGACCTCACCTCCCCATTAATCCAAAAAATAACCTGTGTTTGTCCAAGTAGGAACTTGATAGGGCTAGCCTTGTTGTTTGCTTGCTATAACATGCAATAGAACCACAAGACTTGGGCCCAGCACCAGTTACTCTCCTTCAGGAGTTTAACTACAATTCTGCCAAATTGCCATGTGCAATTCCGGAGAGTAGATGCCCATTACTGTCCCCATGAGACTTCTCCCAAATCATATTCCAAGAAAGTCTAGTCACTCACCCTCATTTAGTGACAATATTGAATTATTTATTTATTCATTTTTATGTTGGCCATTTCCTTCAACTAGAACACAAGCTTTATACAACCAGAGATTTGTAATGTCTTTGGTTTACAGTCTAGGGTAAGTCCTGATACACAGGTGTCAATCATTTTTTAATGGATATTAAGGAGCTTAAGGAATGAAGTCAGGAAACTAGTATTAGGGCAAATAACTTTAAATGCAATTAAGCAGAGCCATTTTTCTTCCTTACTTAGTTTCTTCCCAAGACAAATCTCGAGAAGAAGCAAGATGACCATGAATGAAGAAAATATGGCTAGACTTTTATTTTCAAATGGACAGTAAACATAACAGTTCCTCTTAAAAAATAATCCCTATCTTCAAAAACTAGAGGTTAAGGTTCCCGTGGAGCAGTCTCCTCCACACTTGCTGGAAAATGGACAATTATGCCAAATAGAAAAGCATAAAAATAATTCTAAGACATCTTTAGGATGATGGTTGCTTTGTTCAATTCAGCTTGACCAACGGACTTTTCTATAGCGAATTTTCAAAAACAACTTTGTAAAGTTACTTAATACGTTATTAGTTCAGGCACAAAACTTTTATGGAGGCAAATGGTGCATCTCTGACTTTGGCCCTAGAAGAGTAAATATGGATCAGAACAATTGTCCTGGAACCACATAGACACAGAGATGTGAGGGGAGGGCTATCTAGGGACATCCGTGGATATCCCTGCCAGGGACCCAGTCCTGGTGGGAGGGAATTGACTTGAACACCTCCTCTTGCAGCCCCTTCCACCACACACACAGTCTATTTGCATTTCACAAAGCTTCCTTAGCAATCACTTCCTGGTGCTAAACCAACATCTGCCTCCTTGGAACTAGTGCCCAGGGTCTCAGCTAGCCCCGGAGTATACAAAATAACTCTTATTCATTATTACTTGGCATTCCCTTTTGTCTCTCTTGTGCTCTTCCTCCCACATCCATCCCCCTACAGAAAACTCTGTAATGCTTGCCAAAGAACCAGGCAAAAGGGCAAAGGAGCTAGCTTTGCCTGGTAAAGCTAATGCCCAGCCCACATTTTCCTGGGTTCTCTTAAGTCTCATCAGCTCATTTCCCCTGACCTGTTGTCTAGATTTCAACTCATTTTTGGA